CATGAATGTATTCGTAATGGAAGAATAGTTATAACCCAACATGAAAATAAATGGAGTATATTGTGAATTATTTAGCGCTTAGGATGTGATAATGAGTGAATTATCTAGATGTGACTAGTACTAGCCAATAATGATTTTTAGGACTTACCAAATTTGACAACAAATGTAAAATTGTTATTATTGTTTCTGTATTTTTGAAATTGTACGTTTTTAAATTTGTAAATAAAATTGTTTTTAAAACTTTAAAAAAAGGTTGTAGAATGCTTTCTCTTATGGAACTTTTACAGTCTATAATACCTTCAATTTCTGGGCATCTGCCTCTTCAAAGAAACAAATTCCCTTTTAATTTTAAAGAACACATTACTTCCTAAAGAAAAAAAATCCCAATCAGCTGGGAAAATGTCTTTGAAAAGGAACAGAGATATGCTATTTTAATGTTTTCTAATCATACAAATCAATACCCAAGATTTTTGTACTTGCACATGACCTTCCTCAAATTATCCCTCTATTTTGGCTGAAATGGAATGAGTACTGGCTATTTGATAAAAAATAAATAAATACTAAGTGTATGAAATGAGGGGCCCTCATCACTTCTGCCAGACTCCTCTTGACAGCATGATGATAGAAGCATCACAGCCCTGGAAGCGTAAATGCAAACTGACAAGAGATGAGCCTTTAGATGTTGAATATAATCTTGAATTGTACTTGAAGTGTCTTATTATCTTGTCTTTTGATGTCTGAAGGGTGTCTCATTGTTAGAAAAAGGAAAAACCCTTGCACATCTTTTGCCATCTTTAAAAATTGTTTGGCCTTTAACAACTGCTTTTCCAACTAATGTCTATTTTTCCTGACAATAAATATGGCAGGTCGTCAGCAAAGTGACAAACAATTTACTTTACACGCTAGGCTTTTATGGGTTTTGAGAGCTCATGTGGAAGCATATTTTAAAAAGCACTTGGAAATTAGCACCATTACAAATGTTAAGACAACTGAGATTTCAGTATATTTATATATTGTGACTAAGGATTATGTGATCATTCTTTACTCCCATATTTCCCGCTGTTTCCCTCACATCACCTTCAACTTACTACTCAAGTTCCTTATTTCTTCTCTTTTTAATATAAGGTGAAAGAAAAGAGCAACAAAACGTTCCTCTTTAAAAAGGCCATTCGCTGCAATACATATTGTATGCGTAAAATTCCTATTATTAATCATAACAAATCAATATTTGTGCTAATGGGCATTGGGGCATAGTCCTATGTGCACTCCAGGCCTCAATCATGTATACTTTTTCCAGAAATGTGCTTAATGTCCCCTCCACCTTTAATTTAAGTTTAATGATAATCAGATCAATATGTTTTCTTAGCAACACAGTCACAGGCAGGGTAGTTCTGTCATGGAATTTATTTTGCGACACAGTCAACTACTGTTTTTCAAGTTCCTGTGACTCTGAGAATCTATAAGAATTCTCAAATGAACCATAAATTGTTACAAGGTTCAGGTTATTGTATCATTACAAAAAATATAATTGATGTATTGCAGATCGCAAGACATCCCAGGTTCTGCAATTGTTTGTTTGTTTGTTTGTTTATGTGTTTGTTTGTTTGATTGATTGATTTATATTTATATTTATTTGATTTATATTTATATTATATTCTTACAACTACAAAATAAATGCATAAAAAAACCAAAGATAAACATAATATAAAACAGCAGGAAGCTGTCTTTTAAAGAAGCTTCTTTTATTCTTTTACTCAAACCTGATTTGAACAGGAGCAACAAAAGAAGTCCGTAAGATGAATAAAAGGAATGATGGAAATATTACATATACAAATATCAGTTAAGCAACTTTATATTGGATTATATTGCTTTTTAAATCAAAACACAATGTTTGATTCTCTTCAAATTTGTTATTCAATGGAATTTTAAAAAGAAAGTTTCATGTTCTACCAAAGGAATGTAATTAAATCCCAGGGTTAAGGATATATTTACTCAGTTTCATGGTATTTAAAGAATAATCCCATAAATCTCCGAAATTAAATTCATTAGGATGTCCTAAAATACAATTGCATTAAATATTAAAACTAAGATTTTATTTGTATTTTAATTGGATTTCATATAGTAAGAAGGATACAATTATCAATTTGAAACAGATATTTTCAAACTTCAACCATAAAGAATGCATTACTAGTTGGTCTCACTCATCCTATTTTAACAATATTGTTCTGAGAATCTATATTCTCCTTGTATTTTGAATATTCCTTCTAAGGGCTGGCTATCACTAAAATAAGTGATAATGTATTCAGGACACCAAAAGAAGAGATCCCTGCTCCTACAATAGATAGATATAGGTAGTCCTTGATTTACAATAGTTCATTTTGAGAAAAAAATTACAACAGCACTGAAAAAAAGACTTATGACTATTTTTCACACTTACGACCAGCATCCCCATGGTCATGTGATTTACATTTGGATGCTTGACAATTGGTTCATCTTTATAACTGCAGTGCTCCAGGGTCATGTGATCACCTTTTGTGATCTTCTGATAAGCAAAGTCAATGAGGAAACCAGATTCACTTAACAACCATGTTCCTAATTAAACAATTACGTGATTCACTTAACAAATGCTTCTTGCCCCATTGTAGTTGTTAAATTAGTAACACGCTGTTAAGTGAATCTGGCTTCCCCATTGACTTTGCATGTAAGAAGTTGTTAAAAGTATTATCACAGAATGAAAGTTGTTTGAATTTTATATTGTACATATATAGAATATAATATGGTATCTAATATGTAATATTATATATAATTTAATGTCTATTTTATGTATGTCTACATTAAACTTTAAACAAGAATATTAAATCTGACATCAGTCTAATACTTGTTTTCCAGCTGAGTTATGCAAAACAGAATCAGACCTTTATTGTTCCATGATTGGAGTCTTCCTTTTTTAAATCAGCTGTACTCCTCGAATAAGCAATAAGAATACCTCCATCATTTCTAACAAGGCATTCTAAATTTGCTGTTGTTTTCTATCCCATTCTCTTCCCAAATGTTTGCTATGTCCTACACTACTAACAGAGTTAACAAATGCTTTAGGCACCCATTTATATTCATTGCTAACAATCAGAAGTAGATCATTGTGGTGCAACTCAAGAAAGAGGTAATGGAAAGCTAGTAAACAACAATCTAAAATTAAATGAAGACTGACAAGGACTAAAAAAGATCATACAAGTTTGATAAAAAATTTGTCCATGAATATGTAGATGCGGTAATATAAGGATTACAAATAAAATCACCCAAATGTATTCAATAAACAGTGCATGTAGAGCAGAGGTCTCATTCTCGCGGCCGGCAGGCCAATTGCGGCCCGCAGGACGATATCCTGTGGCCCCCACCGTGATATGAAAGTATAATATTAGTGCGTTCTCCATGCGTCGCTAGCTGGCTAAACACTTCTATGTGCGGCCCAGCCTCACCCAGACTCTGCCTCCAGCGGCCCCCAGGTAAATTGTGTTTGAGACCCCTGATGTAGAGGCTTTGTGAGACAAGGAACAAACTCCTAGGACCTTCTGATTAAGGCTATATTGAAAAACTCAAATGCGCACAATTTCTGAAACAAATATGATAAGTTAAAAATGTATCACATTTTAATGTGTACATATTTTCCTAAATGTGGGCAAGAAATGCAAGGCAAACTTTCCACTAAAGAGCTTGCACAGAATAACATATGTGTATGCATGTAATAAAACTGGGAAATTGTTTTGCTTGAAGTATTTTGCTAATACTTCCAAATGTCAACATTTATCATTATTGTGTTTTCTATCAGCATTAAATGCACAGACAGCATGGATATGACGAATGCTGGTAACCTGTCTCATCTTTCTTCTTTTTATTTTATTCATTTATTTATTTATTTTGTCAAGCAATTATAAGTTAACAGGTATAAGTATAAACATGATTATGAATATATGAAATGGATACATATGAGAAAAAAAAGAAACAATAGGACAGGGACTGGAGGCACATTGGTACGCTTATGCACGCCCCCTACAGACCTCTTAAGAAAGGGGTGAGGTCAAAAGTAGACAGTCTAAGGTTAAAGTTTTTGGGGTTTGGAGAAGAAACCACAGAGTCAGGTAGAGTATTCCAGACATTGACCACTCTGTTGCTGAAGTCGTATTTCCTGCAATCAAGTTTGGTGCGGTTTACCCTGAGTTTGTATCTATTGTGTGCTCTTGTATTATTATGGTTGAAGCTGAAGTATTCATTGACAGGTAGGACATTGCAATATATAATTTTATGTACTATACTTAGATCGGACCGAAGGCGGTGTAGTTCTAAGTTGTCTAGGTCTAAAATCTCAAGTCTGGTGGCATAAGGTATTCTGCAATGAGTAGAGGAGTGGAGAACTCTTCTTGTGAAATATTTCTGGACTTTCTCAACTGTATTAATATCAGATACGTAATGCAGATTCCAGACTGATGAGCTGTATTCAAGTATTGGTCTAGCAAATGTTTTGTATGCTCTAGTTGGTAGTGTGATATTACCAGAAAAAGCTACGCAGGATTAACAACTCTTTATGCCTTTTTGGCTATGTAGTTACAGTGGGCTCTAGCACTTAGATCATTAGAGATGAGTACTCCAAGGTCCTTGACAGATTTTGGATCATAACAAGGTCTTGACTATTCAGCTTGTATTTTATTTTCTGATTTTTTTTTTGTCAATATGTAAGACAGAGCATTTATTTGTTGAGTTTTGAAGTTGAACAATGTTTTGTTTGGTATAATAATTAAAGTCTAGTCTAGAAACCAGAAACACTGTGAGTTCTAGGCCTTCCTTAACCATGAAAGCTGGTTGGATGACTAACAAAACATTCTCTATCAGCTTAACACACCTCGTAGTTTTTTTGTTAATAAGGGGGAAAATAGGAAGCAGGAGCATTAGGTATGTTCTTCGCCTAGAGTTTCATACACTGTAGTTAGATTGAGAGAGAAAGAGAGACATAAAGGCAGAATAATAATATAATCACCATTGGTGTCATGAACCTGGAGAGTGGAGGTCAATATCTGCAGATATATCTAAGAGTGTGACTTGGAATATAAGAGTAAATAGTAAAAGAACATCTATTCATTAATGAAATCAAAGAAAAAGCTATAGATAAGTTTCATATCCATTAAATAAAGTGAAATGATGTAATATCTCAATGAAAATAGTCTGATCATGCAGAATACAACTACTGGAAGTGAAGGTATAAGTTTAACCATGAATGAAAATACTATACCTACATATGTGTGGCATTATTTATGTTGCTGTTTTAATTACAAAAGTGAGCATCTATAGGTTGATAGTAGTTGCCTCTTAAATTCAAGTTAATAGTAATAGTTTGAGAATATCAACAGTACTCTGCATGTTATTCTGCATAAATAACAGCTAAGGGGGAAACATTCTACTGGTTATCATTATTGCATTTTCTATCAACATTAATTGCATCACATAGTATGGATATAACTTGCCCACACTTTTTCATTTTATTGAACAATATCTTGTTTGGAATGAGATAAATGATGCAAGAATTGCAGTTGGCATTGGACTCCTGTTAGATATTCCTATTCTGCTCAGCTCCATTTAGTCACTCCAACTCTATCCTGAATTAAGGGACTATATAGGATCATAAAAAGGGAAATTACTGTCATTTGTGAATCATCACTAACTTATCACCAAATAGGAGTAGCTGTATGGAAGGTGGTAATCATGAATACAAAAAGTACAGAAAAATTAGTTTAGTTAGTGTACCTTCATCTTTTAGTTCAATAGCAATAGTCATCTCTCGTATACTTTTACATTTAGAAAAATCAGTGTGCTTTACAGCAGATTGTGCAGAGATCAGATTTTCAAAAGAACATTTAAAAATGTATAAAATTAAGAAATTTATGCCTATGCCTGACTGTGAAGAATTTTAGATAGATTGTCTGACTCTTAAATTACTAATTATATAGTGGGAGTTAACAGCAAATATTTGTTTGATTTATATCCTCACTTTTCATTTAGAAGCTCAGGGTAACATTTCCTCCCCTTATTTTCCCTTATAACACGAAGGATCCTATGAGGTAAGTCTATTTATTATCGGTTTATTAAGAAAATTTGGCAATTCAGCATAATAGCAAAACAGCATAAAAAACAAACAATAAAAGAAGTCCCCCACAAGCCATATCACATTAAACATATAAAATATAAAATACAAGATGATGATTAAGAACTGTAACAGAACAACCAAATGAGGAGTCAATTTAACTGCTTTCAACTTCCTAGGGGAAGAGCCAAGTTTTAAGAGTGAGCAGAGTTTGACTTCCTGGGGGAAGAATTGAGTTTTCCTAAAGGTGACCAGAGTTGAGGCCTTGAATAGTTGGCCTTGTATACCGGGGAGGGAGGCATTATTCCAGAAAACAGGACAACCACAGAAAATCCATGCAGTTAAAATGATAAGATTTCAAAGAAGGAACCTAGAGAATTATGCAGATTAAAAGTCACATACACATGAACTTTGTTGTTGCGAACTTCCCACATCAAATTTGCAGATGACACTAAACTGGCAGAAAAGCCAACACCCCAGAAGACAAGCTCAGGAACCAAAAAATATTGTCAGACTTGAACAATGGGCCCACAACATGAAATATAATGTGGAGAAAAGCAAGGTTTTACACCTAGGCAGGAAAAATCAAAGGTACAAATACAGAGTAGGAGAAACCTGGCTCAAAAACAGTAATTGTGAGATGGACCTTAAATTCCTAGTGGATGATCACTTAAGCATGAGTCAGCAATGTGCTTGCAGCAGCCAAAAAGGCTAATACATCATTGATTGTATAAATAGAGGCATAGAATCAAAATCATGTGACGTATTAGTACCGCTTTATAAAGCCTTGTTCCAGATGGCCACATCTGAATATTGCATCCAGTTGTGGTCACCACATTACAAAAAAGATGTTGAAGCTTGGGGAAAAGTGCAAAGAAGAGCAACTAAGATTATTAAAGGCCTGGAAACTAAAACATATGAAGAACGGTTGGAGGATTTGGGTATGGCTAGTCTAGAGAAATGGAGGACTATGGCTGCCTTGATAGCAGTATTCCAGTATTTGAGGAGCTGCTGCAAAGAAGAGGTGTGTCAACTTATTTTCCAAAGCATCAGAAGGCAAGACACGAAACAATGGATGGAAACTAATCAAAGAGAAAAGCATCAACCAGTGGAAAAGCTTGCCTCAGAAGTTGTGCTTTATTACTGGAGGTTTTAAAGAAAAAACTGGACAGCCATCTCTCTGAAATGGTATAGGGTCTCCTGCTTGAGCAGGGGGTTGGATGAGAAAATCTCCAAGGTTTCTTCCAGCTCTATTCTGATTCAGATGCTCTAAATCTGCAACTCTGAAAAAGATGGAATAATTAGGTAGTAGTGGAGTTTATTTTTCCACATAATGAACAATTAACAAAATCTCAATTGCTAATGGCATCTGACTATTAAATAATAAATAATAAAGTCAATTAAATACTGTAAATCAGTCTATATTCCACAGAGATTTGCTCATATGAATGAGTTTCTCGATTATTGCTGAATTCAAGTCAGATTAGATAAAATTCTTCTACAAAAGATCATCTGCATTAACAGTGTGATAATATCCATAAAATGTCAGAATCATAAAACAAATATTGTTTACTTAATAACAGTACTTTAACTTCAAAATGAGGTACTTGACTAAATTACATACTTATATTCTGTAGTGCATTTTGCGCGTTATATGATGGAACTAATGTTTATACGAGGCTAGAAAAAGAATATTGCTTCCACTACACAGCAATTCATTTGATTCTAGCATGTTGTGTTAAGTTACGTATCCTGATTTAGTTACTACAAGCAGTAGTTCCATTAGGCAAAAGAAGCAATTACTTTAGGCAACAGTGGTTGGATGTTTAAAAAAGGTTGGTATTGTGCTAAGCGTTTTATTTTCAATGAAGAAAAGAGCTTATAGGATACCAAAATAATCGGACTGGCTTGAATAAAATGCATTATGACCAGAGTTGATAATATCTTCTACACAACCTGAACATGGTTGACCCCAATGGCAGGATATGAATGTGGAATTATATTCCAAAGCTCTTTAGCATGGGTCCAGGGTATCTGAGGAGTCATCTCACCCCCAATAGGGACTGATCCATCCCACTATCTCCATCAGAAGACTCCTAATATCAAACCTTGTCTGTCAAAGAACTTTGGCTGGGGAGCGGGGGTAGAAAAAGTCATGTGGCCATTTCAGAACAGGTTATCCTCAGCCGACATCTCACAGGTCTCCCTTCTCTCACTGTCCCAGGCACTCTCCCTGCCTCTTATATCAAGGTTCACTTTCCTTTTATCTGCAGTTGTTGACTGGCACACCCAGCTGATACAAGGTTCACCTAGAATGCTGGCAAAGGCAATTTTCCTCAAGGCTACAAAGGCAATCTTCCCAAAGCTGGCCAAAAAAAGGAAGTCAGCCATCAGGCTGGAAGAAGGCCAGGCCTCTTGGGAGTGGCAGGGAAAAAGGAGGCCTGTGTGCCATTAGCTGAAGTCTTTCAGCTTGTGGCAGATTTCTATGCACCAATGAGTTTAGTCAGCCACCCAGCAAAGGAAATATGCAGTCCTTTCATAGTTGTATGGGCACACCCAGCCTAGCACCTGAGTTTTGATTATACCGGCATTGCAGCAGTTGGCCATATGAGCAGGAATAATATGTCCCCTTATTCAGCACCATCTTAATTTCAAAAGATCACTGAATGAACTATTGTAATACAGTAACTAGCTGTACTTTCCTAAATGATAGCTAAGGTAAGCTAAGATTACAAAGTAATGATATTTTAGGATGAGAACCTAAGATCATTTATCTCTTAAACTGCACTGCTAGTTCACACTGATATTGTTTTAAAAAATCAAAATATCTCTTAATGTTTCTCCCCATCCCCGCCAGGGCAAATATTAAACAATATTGAGAGGTCTTACCTATCTGTCTTTCTTGACATAAAGAACTAACTTCAGTATAATAAAGTAGGCAGAAGCCCAGTCTTATACATACCTTTTTTTCAATTTTGACAGTACTCCTTCCTTGCTACATGTCACCTACTATCTACTATTTTTTACCAGCATTTGTATAGTTAGTGATTTCCATGTTCATTTTCCTATTTTTAATAGATTTTTTTTTTACCAAAGTACATTAATTCATTAATTTCTTATAAACTTCTTGCCATACATATAACACTTGCAAACTCAAGCCTATTTATCTTATTATATACTTACCCTAAATCTTTAGCACTCAGCAACTATTTCAATTCCACCACTCATTTTAATTCCACCACTCAACATGCAATTTTCATACAAATCTCTAAAATATTTTTCTACCATTACCCCTTTTTAGCTTCACCAAAATCATTTTATAACTTTTATTTTAATTCCAGTCATTTAACTGGAGGGTATTGTTACTTACCAAAGAGTTCTGTCTCATTCATTCCTGAATCATCAAATCGCCTTATCTTTGGTACTCTCTTGCCTCATTTCTAATCATACATTTAAGTTTTTAAAAAGTCAATTTTCCTCTGGATTGCATTCATTTCTAGCATTGTATGATTATTACCAAAACTCATTTCTGATTCTTCCACTGTCATTGTTTACTGGAAAAAAATTAACAGTTACCGCTTGTTCATGAAATCACATTTTTCATATTATAGCTGCAGGATCCAAGTTTTTATCCTGCCATTCAAAATCAAATCTACATCTTTACTTCATAGCATATATTCATCAAAACCAGTCCAGAGCATCAGCTCACTTTAAATCTTCATCAATTATCACATTTTCCTTTGTCTTAATTTCATAAGTATGTGTTATTTTCCACTATTTTCCTTTACTAATTCATGTTCTTCATTATTTACTCCTCTTACATTTTAATATCCAACCTTTCTTATGAGATGGTTCTGACCAGACACACTCATTGATATTGACCT